ACAAGGTCTAATTTTCTCTTCCCGAGAGCAACTGACGCCGACTTCACCTTCTCTGCAAGGTCGGAGTTGAATTGAAACTGTTTCTTATTACCTTCGAATCTAAACGTGATCTTGGATTCTTCTTTAAGCTTTTTGGCCACAGAATCGGTATTACTGCACGACTCGTCTTGAATATCGCGCTTCAAGGCGCCCAACTTCTTGTCGAAATAATCCTTAAATAGAGAGAACGCGGACGCTATATCACTGGATTCTGAAGACTGGATTGGTACTGAAGCTTCGAGAGGTTGAGACAAAGGTTGTTTAGGGAGCGAAGGCAGCAAAACGTCGCTGCCAGGAAAATCTGTGCTCGCTGGAGTAACGTCTTCAACATCGGACATAATTTTGAGGGCGTAGGGACGGTCGTAAGACGCGAATGAATATAAATGAGAACAACTCAAATATATAGCCTACCGCTAATGAAGCAACAGAACAGCATACCATGTAACACCCCAAAGAAAAGGTTACATAACCCATGATAAACACATTTCATGTTATATAACATAAAATATCTTATGTTATATAACATATCTTATAAAACATATCTCATGTTATGTTATATAACATGTCTCATGTATGTTATATAACATATGTTACGTTAAGTTATATAACATATGTTATGTTATATAACATAAAATATGTTATATAACACATGTAATGATATATAACATAAAATATGTTCTGTTATATAACAGGTGACATGTGATGTTATATAACATCTGTTATGTTATGTGATATAACATATTTTATGTTATGTTCTATAACATATTTTCTGTGATATTATATAACATATGTCATGATGTTATGTTATATAACATAAAATATTTTCTGTTATATAACATGTGTCGTGTTATATTATATTTTTAACATGTCTCATGTTATGTTATATAAGATGTGTCATGTTATGTTATATAACATGCGTCATGTTATGTTATATAACATGGGTCTTGTTATGTTATATAACATGTTTCATGTTATGTCATATAACATGTGTCATGTTATGTTATATAACATATGTCATGTCATGTTATATAACATATGTTATGTTATATAACATAAAATATGTTCTGTTATATAACGTGTGACATGTTATTTTATATAACATATATTATGTTACGTTATATACCATATGTTATGTTATATAACTTATTTTATATTATGTTATATAACACATGTCATGTTATATATAAAATATGATATGTTATATAACATGTGTCAATGTTATATAACATAAAATTTGTTATGTTATATAACATGTGACATGTAATGTTAGATAACATATGTTATGTTATGTTATGTTATATAACATATATCATGTCATGTTATATAATATATGTTATGTTATGTGATATAACATGTGTCATGTATGTTATATAACATATGTTACGTTATGTTATATAACATTTTATTCTATGTCATATATCATATGTCTTGTTATGTTATATAATATATGATATGTTATGTTATATAACATGTGACATGTTATTTTATATAACATATGTTTTGTTCTGTTATATAACATATTTTATGCCATGTCATGTTATATAACATATGTTATGTTATATAACATATGTTATGTTAATTGTTATATAACATAAAATATGTTATGTTATGTTATGTTATGACATCTAAATTATATTTCATGTCAATGCAATTGTGAAAGTTCCGTTTTATTTGCTTTGGGTGAGAAATATAAAGCTGCACTTATTTATTAAGTAGATTTTTCCAAACTTTAAAATTCTAAACTTTAAGTGTTTTGGAACATTACAATTCCAAACTTTGGCTTTTCCAAACATTGGAATTCTAAATCTTTGCTTTTTCGAAACATTGGAATTCTAAACTTAATCTTTTCTAAACATTAGTATTCTTAAATTTAAGCTTTTTCAAAACATTCAAATTCTGAATTTGCGCTTTCTCTAAACATAATTCTAAACTTTGGCGTTTCCAAACAATGGAATTCTAAACACAGACTCTTTTCAAACATTGAAATTCTAAATTTTAGCTTTTTCCAAACACTGGAATTCTAAACTTTGGCTTTACCAAACATTAGAAATCTATATTGTGATTTTTCTAAAAATTGGAATTCAAAAGTTTTTCTTTTTTTAACATTACAATTCTAAATTTTGTCTTTTTCCAAATATTGCAATTCTAAACTTTGTTCCAGACATTGTAGTTCTCAATTTAACCTTTTCCAAACACTGCAGTTGTAAATTTTAGCGTTTTCTTAACATTAGAATTCTAAATTCATCCTTTTTTAAAAACATTGAAAATCTAAATTTTGGCTGTTTTCAAGCATTGGAATTCTGAATTTTGGCTTTTTCCAAACATTGGAATTCTAAATTCAGTTTTTTTTCAAACATTGAAATTCTAAATTTTGGATGGCTTTAAACATTGGAATTCCAAAGTTTGTCTTTTCTAACCATTAAAATTCTTAATTTTGGTTTTATTCCAAACATTGGAATTCTAAACTTTGGGCTTTTCTAAACATTGGAAATCTAAATTAAAATCTAAATTAAGTTTTTAAAAAAAATAGAATTCTAACAAGGGTAACCAGGGTAACAAACGATAACAAAGGTAAAAAGGGTAACCAGGGTAAAAAGGGGTAACAAAAATAACAAGGGGTTACAAGGGTAACAAGGGGTAACTAGGGGTAACAATGATAACAAGGGGAAACAAAGGGTAACAAAGGGTAACAAGGGGTAACAAGGGTAACAGGGGTAAGAAGGGGTAACAACGGTAACAATGGTAACAAGGGTAACGAGGGGTAACAAGGGATAACAAAGGTAACAAGGGGTAACATAGGGTAACAAGGGGTAAAAAGGGTAACAAAGGGTAACAAGGGGTAACAAGGGTAACAAGGGGTAACAAGGGGTAACAACGTTAACAAGGGGTAACAGGGGTAGCAAGGAGTAACAAGGGTAACAAGGGGTAAGAAGGGGTAAGAAGTG